CCCCTTTCTTCTCTCCCCCTCCCTCTCCACTCCAAATATACCACCCACCCACCCCCACACCATGCCCCCAACCCTAGAAATCGCAACCTTCACACCCTCCTTCGCCCTCCACGCTCTTGCATCCGGTGCATCACGCATCGAACTCTGTTCTCATAGGAATGAAGATGGATTGACACCTAGTATTCAAGAATTTCTGGAAGTGAAGAGGGGGGTTGCGAGTCTTAGGCTCGAAGAAAGTGATGATTATGATGATACTAAAAACGATGATACACCAGAGACTCTCGATGCTCGAAAAGAGAATAAGAAAAACATCAAATCAAAAATCAACATAATGATCCGGCCCCACGACAACAGTCATCCAGGCGCAGGTGCAAACGAAGATTTCAGAGTGGGAAATGAGGTATTTGAGAAGATGAAGGAGGAGATTAGGATCTTTAGGGGGGAGGGAGCACAGGGGTTTGTTTTTGGGATTTTGATGGATGATCATGAGGGGGGTAGTGTGGAAGAGTTTGGAGATGGGGATGGAGATGGGAACGGGGATGGGAAAGGGAGGTTAGTGGTTGATAAAGAGAGGTGCGCTGAATTAATCAAGATAGCGAGGGAAGGAGAAGACGGGGAGAAAGTAAGATGTACATTCCATCGGGCATTTGACCGAATAGATAAGAATAATATGGGAATAGAATTAGAAGTAGTGAGTAATCCTCTCATTCCTTTCTTTCCCCACAACATAAATCCGAAACAACTAACTAACACAAAGCCATCTCCAACACACAGCTGATCTCCCTAAATTTTACCGCACTCCTCACCTCAGGCGGAGCCCCATGCGCTCTCGACGGAATACCCCAAATCGCCGGATTAGTGCAGCAAGCAGCGGGAAGAATAGATGTTATTGTAGGAGGTGGAGTGCGCAGTCGAAATGTGAGGAAGTTGGTGAAGATGACGGGAGCTGGCTGGTTTCATAGTAGTGCGGCGAATGGGGATGGGGAAGAGGTGAGTGGGGATGAGGTGAGGAGGCTGAGATATATCTTGGATTCTTGGGAGATGCTTAGAGATTAGGGGTGTGTGGGGTATTGTAGTACAGTATTCATCTGTATGCGCATTGCGAAGTGTGGTTATTGCGTGGTGGGGTATATGACTCAAGAAACGTCCATTTGGAAAGATAATAAAGATATCGGCGTGAAGTTTTACTAAACACTTCTATACAAACAGCAGTATACAGATACTGCTCAACGTCCACCGAGTCTATACTTCACTATCGTCAGTTTCTCATTCATGCGAATAAAATCAAAAGTCATGGCTTCGTCATCATCAAGCTGCACAACTTCGGCCTTGGTCCTCCCACCATTTAGCCCAGAATTAGGAAGCCACAAGTAAGTAAAAATCCATCCCTTGAGCCCAACATATCTTAACTTTGAGATTCTTCCCTGCTTCTTTGCATGCTCTCGGAAAGCCGTGAATATGGTCTTGGCGAGATTAGAGGCGCCTTCGTTGTCCAGTATCTCTTGTGCATGCTTGCCGTCGCCAATGGTTGCCGTGGCACGAATGCACATCAGGATACGAAGGTTCGAGAGCGATAGAAGCGTATCGCGGCGAAGATCCTGAGGGTTCTGTACTTAGCTTTGATGCTTTCTAATGTGGGGTTGAACAAGACTTGAACTGCTACATACCCAGTCAAGGTGCTCAATTCCCAACTCCTCCCACTGGTATGGAGACCCTTGCCAAGGCCATTCGAAGAGTTCCTCGTTATTGGTTGCATTACCAGCAATGAGTAATTGACGCCACTTGAAGAAATCATTGTTAATAAGCAGAGATACATGTTGACCATCGACAACTGGGCTGTTTGCATCCGGTATGTCGATATTGCCTGCTTGAAACTCTCGCAGGGTCGTTTTGATAGAAGAGTTTTCTATGGTGTTTAGATAAAGAAGTAACTGCATAACACTTCCATTACAAAGCTCCACCGAAAGCTTTTCCAGAGCAGTAATGCCATCAAATATCTTCACATCAATATGTTTATCAATTTGGCCGTTCAACAATCGTAACGTCCGAAGCTTTGACATATCCGAAAGTTTTGATAGTCGCCATTCCCCATCGTGCGTGACAGAGCTCCAACTGTACATACCATCTCCCAGTATAAGATTTTGTAAACTTAATCGGAGGTCTGGTGTCCTGTTTGCTCTTTTCAAATCGTCAAACTCTGCGGCAATATTCCTGAATAAGTTCTCTTCGGTTTCGATAGCCAGATCTACACCAAGACCTAGGGCGGTAATAGCAGGCCTTCCATCGTTCTAGGTCGAATTAGCAATTCATTTATCAAATCACTTTTAATGACCTGACAAATAGATAGGGAGACTCTGTAGGAATATAGGCAGGGAGTAGAGACATGGCATTATGGAGAAGAACTTTCTTCACAGGGTGGCAGAATATTTGGAAAAAGTAAAATTGAAAGGCCTGGCATCTTCTCACTTACAAAAAGAATTTTAGCGATAGTTGAGCCTAGAATACTCAGGTCACCCTTCAGATTCCTCAAATCTAGGCTACGTAAATTTCTGAAACTTGGAACATCCGGCCAGTCAAGTTGATGGTGCATAGGATGTTCACTCCTCAAATATTCAACGCAGACATCTGTAATTTTATTAACGTGAAAAGAACCTGCGAAGGCTGGAAGCGTGCTAATAATATTAAGGCAATCAGCTTCGGATATGTAGAGAAGACGCGGAGCCAACTACCAAATAGAACAATCCTCGAGATTTAGCATATTCCGCAGACACATGAGAAGGCAAGCTCGAATAGCTTCTCCAACAAAATCCGGGTCGAAGCTACGTGTATGACGGAGATGGGTTTCGATAGGAAGTTGGGAGATAACCCGCAACTGTTGATACTTCCAATAACGACTCTTGCCATCTGGTAGAACAATCTTACGGTAAAGCACAGGTCTGAAAATTTCATTGAAAGTCTTGCTATATGTTCAGCATTGTTTTTATAACCCAAAATGACAACTTCCGGATTATCTCAGTTCGAGTAATTTAAACTTACCTTGGATGTCAAACATAGGGCAGTGAGAGTCTTTAGTGGTAGTCGCTGCTCAGCGAGTAACCTCAAAAGTTCTAGAGGAATATACTTCATTGTTTTGAAAGGGTTGAGGGGACGACCGGTACAGGTAGTATTAGGATATCGATGAAGTGCTGCTCGCTCTCGATCAGCGGAGAAGGTGGCAGAAATTGAGATTTAAATGTCTATTTGAGGATTTTGAATATTGAGTTTATGTTAGAATAATGAAATGGTAATTTCGGCCTTTGGTGAGAGGGAGGAGGACAAACGCAGAGGTTGCGGATTAGTTAGTTGCTGTCTCGAGTTAGGTAAGCATCGGATCCCAACGCTGACCAATCAGCATACTCTATATCAATTCCATAGCCACAACCTGAACCCGACGATGACCACCAAATTTGGTCACAGCAGTCTCCCAACCGCGCGTTAAACAACTTGTCTTGGTCAAAGGCCAATCCTCACCTGTGTCAAGTGAAGTATAACCTCTAGACCTGGCCGTCCTATATACTTGCGGTCTATCATTGAGGCTTGGGTAGAGTATATCGACCCTCGCCGAAGATGTTGGCCAACAATCTTTTAATCTACACACATCCTCGAACTCGTCTTCTACGGGAAAGAGGATAAACTTTTAATTATATGGTCATTATGAAGAAAATCAAGCATGGGGAATTGTTTTAGCAGTAGGAAACAAAAAGAGCAACCACCTCGTCCCCCTCCAGGACGTAGACAATATTCTACAGGAACTCGTAAGGCTTCGGTTGGTCTGTTGGCGAGAATTAGTTCTAGTTCTAACATTCCTGTCAGATAATATTTACCATACAAACCCCTTGTTGGAATTACTTGAAGAAGAATACCAAAGTAAAAGGAATTTGCAAGTAGGAAAGAAAGACAGGTCTAGACGTGAGAGATACGGATTGAATGGAGGTATTGGTCCTAGACGACTTGAAGATCGGGGAGATCGCAGTAAAAGTCGCCCTAAGACCCGTCAAAGAGCCGTTCGAAATGCTGGCAGATCACGCGCAATCCGTCCTTCGAAACCCCGCAGAAAAACCAAGGAAAGCGGAAGGAAACAGAAAGATTTCAGCAAAGACGACGAAGATGATAGTGATAGCGAAGACAGCGAAATTGGCACTAGTGACAATGATAGTGGGAGTGAGAATGATAGCGACAGTGACAATGACAGTGATTCTGAGACTAGTCGCCGAGAGATGTCAAAATCTGTCACCCGTCGCCGGAATCAATATCCGCGTAAGAAACGGCTTGGAAAGAGAGGAAAAGAAATAGATGAGGACGAGGGCAATGCTTTGGAGGATGAGCAAGATGAAGAAGATAGGGACGACGAAGAGGAGGATAGGAGAAAGAAGAAGCAGAAGAAGAAAAGCAACAGGCAAAACGCTCAAGAGGTTCCTAAGAAAAGTTTAAAGGCCAAACTCAAGCCAAAATCAAAGGTTAAAAAGGTGGCAGAAGATGACAAGATCGCGCTTTTAGGGAAGGAGGATGACGAGAATGAAGATGATGATGATGCAAAAGATGAGGAGGAACAGGAGGAAATTGGTCACAATCTATCCCAAGAATCCGAAACAAGAGAGAAAGATAAGGGAAAAGGAATCGAAAAGCCAAACCCTTACCGATGGACAAACTCCTCACCAATATTCGATAAAAGCAAAAGTAGCATCTATCAAAGAGCCAGAGCGAAAGGTTCAGACAAGGAGTCTATTCGTCACCTAGAAATCCAGCGCCATCGCCAAAGGCGAGAACGAGAATCATCACTCAAGAACCCCAAAATGTCACTTTCACCCGGCACTAGTGATGATGACTGGACTAACACAGATGCATCTTCGCTTGCAACCTACAAACGACCTGGTAGCACTTCTTCCCGCCTCTCCTCATTGTTTGGCCCGCGAAACCGGAGTTTAACACCAGATTCAACTTCCCATCTGATGTCTCCCATATCACCACTTACTCGACCTTCTATTTCATCAAAAACAGGAGAATCAACTTTCGCCGCCAGTGTAATTAGGGCATCGCCGCTACAGGACATCATATCTGCAGACTCATTACCAGCAAATCCGGTACCAAATGACACTATCATAACACCTCCTCCTCCAGCGGCCCATCAGCGACCTTCATCGCCTCTTGCGAAGGCAGGTGAGCCATACATGGGCGGAATGAAGAAGGTCATCTTTTTGAGTCGTGGAAAGAGAAGCTCTATTAAATTAGTGCCTTCGAATGGAAAACCTACAGATGCTGATGATGTTGAAATTATTCTTACGAAATGAAGAAGAATTTTGGATAGGAGAGAAATGGTGTGAAGTTTGTGAATATCTGAATGAGGTATTATTTCTCGCTTCTGATTTTCGTTTCTTCATCTCTTGAGTCTACGAGTTGTTGCATAGCGTTCGGTAAATTCGGGAATTTGCATAATCCACGGGACCACGAGGACGAGGAAGAGGATATCAAAGGGCGAGAGTTGAAGATTGGAGCTCTGAGTTGGTTTGAAATATACTCTTGGGGCTTTGCATGAAATAGGGAATCCATTTTGGTATATCCATATACTAGTGCTGAGAATTTGAATAGTAATTTTTATTTGGATGTATTCATTAGCGTTATAAAGCCATCTAATTTACTCGCTGAAGCATTCTTATAAACTTTGTTCTAAAGGTATATAATAACCTTTCCCAATCAGTTTCCAGTTCTTATACCTTATTCCATTCATCAATCCAAGTTTCTCTTCCTCTTCAGCTTTCTCATCAGCATATCTGCCTCTTCTCTTTCCTCTCCGCCAACCATTATCCTCCCTTCCTCCATACTCTCCAACTCCTCTCCTTCATCCTCTTCCGCATTCCCACCACAAAACCCCCTTTGGCAACTCTCCACGCACCAAACAAGCCCCATATAACTTCTCGTCGCTATTATAGCCGGCGAAGAAATAGCTGTAACCACCAGACCAAATAGAAACATCCATACACAAGATGGATCAATGGGAAACCTCTTTTTCGAATCTGCTCCCCACAGATCCCGAAACAAAATGGCCCAGCATAAGAGGGATGAAAACGCTCCTAGGTACAAAGGAGAGCATAATGACCACCAAAGAATCACCCAGCCTTTTGAGAGCTTTTTTTTGTCTCTGTTGTCGTCATCACAGTAGGTTAATTGTTGAATGGCGAGTGCTTGGAAGAAAAGGTCGATCATTAATAGACAAAATATTAGGGTCTCTTTTACAAATTGTTCTGAGGGTTTCTTGACACTTTTCGTGGATGTAGGAATAGGGGCGGTAGCTGGAACTGGGCCGAGAAATTGTGGCTGCGTATTGGAGGCGGATGATTCGTATGGAGGTGGTGGATTTCGACTTCCACTCTCACCCCCTTTCAAGTTCTCCTCCCCGATCATCGATATCCTTATACCCGTCACAACTTCACTACTCTCTCTCACTTCTCTCCTCACCCCATATAGTCCCTCCGATACATCTCCAGATCCAGATGTAGCAAGCACCTCTCCAGAATTTCCCTGTTCCCACCACCTTGCCCACGAATAATTATCCTTCCTCTCGCTATCCACGGAAAGATATACCAGCCAAATCAATACAATGCCACAGATATATGACAGAATATATATAAGACTGGTCCAATAGCCCCAGCTGGATGTGAAAAGTGCGTGATGCTGGCATCGGGATAGGTAGTCTGTTTGGGAGATGGGGGCGTGGAGGGGAGAGAGGATGATTGGGAGGGGTGGGGTGGTGGGGAGAGAGATGGAGAGGAGAGAGATGGAGGGGAGAGAGATTGGAGGTGCCATGGTAGCGAGGTTGTTTGGTTATTTGATTGGTTTTGTGGATATTCGAAGTTTCAAGTTTGTGTGGATGGATATCTGCGAAAATAAAATAGTGAGGAATGTACTCGTAGATATATATATACAAGTATTACGGATAAACGGGTAAGCAGAATCGTGATGTGATAGATATTGTAAAATTTGTGGGGTGGGTAGTTGTACGTGATTGTGTTATATATTCATAGTGTATGTGTCATTGAAGAGAAAATCATGCTTTATGCTCAAAACTTGAATAAGCGTTGGCGTGGACGAACTAGTATGTTCGCCAACCTCGAAGGGGTTAGTTGAGTTGGGGTTGGGGCTGATTGGGGTTGGTTTGGGCGGGATTTTATGTACTATGTATATAGTATTGACTAGTAAAATAAACTAGTAAGACATAGATGGGTTATTAGTAAGTTTCGAATATGGGGATAACCTGTATGAGTGTATGATGTTGGTTAAGAATGTACTGATGGGGGTCCGGGGGATAGGCTTGGATTGTGTTGTTATTTCTTAAAAATTGAAGTTGAAATTGTGTCTTATATTGATTAGAGTAACTTATCGAAATAGCATACTGTATATCTTACTACAGTACTTAGGAGTATTCTTACATCTTGATCATACTGTACCAATCCTAGGGGGGTTAGCGAGAAGGTTAAAATTCCTCGCTAACAGGCTGTTATAGTCCAATCAGAGCAATTCCAATGTTCGAAATATTTTCAATCTCTGAAAACAATTGAATCATGACAAGCAATTCAATATTTCAAATGTATTTATTGATTGAAATAATTTCAATATTCTTGATAATTATATTCAAATTTTTTTTTTTTCAAAATAATGTTTAAGATATATTAAGGAATCAAGAATATATTATTGTTGGACTGCAGTCTGTACTGCAGTCTGGACAATTGGATACCATGACTTAGTCTCAGCCTATTATTATTATTAATAATAACTGATAGAGAGGAAAGAGAAGAGGCAGGGATCGATAGAAGCAGGAGTAAAAAAACAGATATACTGATAAGCCGAGGAGGAAGAGATACTTGGATTGATAAATGGAATTAAGATATAAGAACTGGAAATTGATTGGGAAAAGTTGTTGTGTATCTTTAGGGTGAAATCAATAAAAATGCTTCAGTGAGTAAAATAGCAGTTAGGACCGAAGTTCTGAAAACAAGCCGATCCGCAAGCACAGGTACCCCTAGCCCCTGATCATTACCTACTTGAGGAGCATATATAGCAAAAGAGCTTGGAATTAAAAACCATAGCATTATGGAAACATGATGAAAGAAATAATGGCAAAGAGCAAACAACAAATGTGAATTAAACAATTGCCCATTAACGCAGAATAAAACTTGAGGCTTCATCTGGGGGTATATTAGAACTCTGTTCTATCGATTCCAACGACATTTGGTAAGATAGCTCGCTGCTCATTAGTGTAAAGAAGTACGCATTGCAATTAATGTTCCTGTCCATTTACTTGCTTCTCTTGTAGATCTTGCTCAAGAAGCTGTCAAACACAGTTTTCTTCAAGCCCTCTGACTCGTCAACCTGCGAAATCAATTCTCTGATCTCACCAACTCTCTTCTCTTCATAGTCCTGGTAGATCTTCTCCAGTTTCAACTCATCGAACAGCTTCTTCACTGCTGCTTCCTTGGTCTTATCTTTGTGACCGTAGTTTTCCTCGAGCACCTTACGCTGCTCCGGTGTTGCAATGGCCAATGCTTGGTTGACTAGCCAAGAACACTTGTTATCCATGATATCAGTACCGATCTTGCCAATGTGCTCTGGTAGGCCAAAGTTGTCAAGATAATCATCTTGGATTTGGAAATATTGACCAAGTGGAATCAAGATATCTTCGGCTTGCTTAAGATTCTTTGGAGTGGCAATCTTCTGATGGTGAAGGGCAAGAGCGACAGGGAGGTAGAAGGAATAATAGGCGGTCTTGTAGGTGACAATAAAGTCATACTTCGCCATGGAAAAGTTGTCCAAATCGACCTTGTCCTCTGGTGCAGTCAACAAGTCGCACAATTGACCAAGTTCTGTCTGGTATGTAACTTCGTGGAAGAGTTCGATGAGATCCACGTAAGAAGGGTGAGAGCGGAAGTACTTCTTCAACAAGGAGTAGATTGCAGATTCGAGGATGAAAGCATCATTAATAGCGATCATGCCGACAGTTGGTTGTCTGTACCAACAAGGTTGACCGCGGCGAGTAATACTGCTGTCCATAATATCGTCCGATACAAGGAAGAAAGCTTGAAGAAGTTCGGTCATCCATCCTAAGGTGGCAGATTCGAAATATTGTTCTTCCGATAGGGGAGCTTCGAGGAGGAGAGATACTGAGTCAGGAACAGACATTCCCCGATTGCACTTTCCGCCAATTGTGTTGGCATATAGAGACTACATGAGGAAAATAAGTATATGTAAATTCAACATTTTTGTGGAAAATCACTCACAGCTTTGAGCCAGTCTTGACCTTGTTGAGGGAGGTTATACTTTTGGGCATGGGCAAGTAGATCCTCAACCAATTTTGGGAAGACGGATTCGAATTCCTTTAGAGTTGTACCGGTAGTTTTTGCCATTGTGATTGCGTAGGTGAGATTTGATAGAAGTAGAAATAAGTAGAATAAAATAACGAGTATACTAAAGTTCAGAGATGAAGACTGTAAGGAGGTACCGGTAGGTAGAGAGGTAGAGAGGTAGAGAGGAAAGTCGAGCTAGAAAGTGGTACAAGTACAGGTGTAAACAATGGGGTTTCTACAAAGAAATGCGAGTGACAGGGGAAATTAAATTACAGCGGTGAAGGGTGCGGGGTGGGCAGAACGCGGGAAACAACAAGTTCGCGCTTTCCACCAGATACATTATAGAGTACTAGGTACTCAATCATGAAGTTTTATTGTTTTATTGGATTATAGAACCATCAAATTTTATTGTCATGCCATTTCTTTGACAGAAAAGTTGTATCATATACGTGAGTGAATTGAAATTATATTCAGAGAATTTTCAGAAAGATACCTTTGTGAAGAGTTCGAGTTTGTCGGCCGACGCGGCATCAAATCAACATCAACATCAACAGCAAGGCCATACCATAAATTTAGCAAATTTAATAAATACCGGTACTCAGCTTTGCTAGTTTGCAGTCACCGCCGAATTCTATGAGCTATCCAGAAGCTCATATCCTCGAAAAATCGAGGTAGCAATATTACAGCATGGCACTTACTGAGCGGGAAACAGCACAATTGCGAGGATCACTGCAGGAAGCAGTTGTGAAATGTTCGGAAAGATGCTTATATCAATCTGCGAAATGGTACAAATTCACAGCACCAGTATTACTTGTATTCACTAACTAATTTTCTTTAGGGCGGCAGAACTCTTGACATCTATACCGACAAATGATGATTCTTTAGAGCCCGAGGACTCGCAGATGATAGAAGTACCTTTGGAAGGACTTCCCCCAATCGTTGTTACTGGCAACCTCGATCCCGAAGAAGCACAGCTCGAGGCGAGAGAAATCAACAAGTATCTACTAGCGAAATCATTTTTTGATTGTCGGGAGTTTGACCGATGTGCGGCTGTATTTTTGCCAGACAGATTGCTCTCCGGAATTTTGTCAACGACAGCTGGAAGAGGCAGTCAAAATGGCGCAAACACGAGGTCAAAGGGGAAGGAAAAGGCATCAACGAGTCGAGTTAGCACAGGAACAATATCAAGCCTTCCAAAATTGAGCCAAAAGAGCTTATTCCTTGCTTTGTATGCTAAGTTCATGTCTGGCGAGAAGAAGAAAGATGAAGATAGTGAAATGGTAATGGGCCCTCATGACGGAGGAAATACAGTGAACAAACAACTGGTCACAATAATTCGAATATTAGAGGCTTGGTTTCAGGAGCGAAGGACCGAGACTGGAGAGTTTGCTGGTAGTCAAGGATGGCTCGAATATCTGTCAGTCAAATGTGTCCTGGTTTAGGTACCTCACTAACGAGATCTAGCTATGGAATGGTTTTGGCCAAGGATAAGAATGAGGATGAGGCAATGCGCTGGCTAGTCCGAAGTGTTGAGCTGTTCCCCATGAATTGGGGATGTTGGCTGGAAATGACTTCTCTAATTTCTAGAGTTGAGGATGTGAGTAAACCCTCTTTGAATGATGGCCAACTATTGACTTATTTGGCAGCTAAATCGAATATCGCCACACCTCCCTCAAAATATACTCTCCTTCATATTCCACCTTCATACGTCCCTAGAATTATACCAATCGACACCACAATTGTCTAACTCTCTAGAACAACTTCTTTCCATCTTTCCAACCAGCCCTTTTCTACTCACCTGCTTAGCTCTTCTATCCTATCATACCAAAGATTTCGTTACGGCCGACGCTCACTTTAGTCGTCTCCTTGCACTACATCCTCATCGATTAGACTCACTCGACCATTACTCTAATATCCTCTATGTCATGAACCTCCGACCCAAATTATCGTTTCTTGCACATCTCTGCTCGAGTGTCGACAAATTTCGACCCGAATCATGTGTTGTGATAGGGAATTACTACTCACTATTATCGAGCCACGAGAAGGCTGTACAATATTTCAGGCGTGCCTTAACTTTAGACCGTTCATGTCTTAGTGCATGGACGCTCATGGGCCACGAATACGTGGAATTAAAAAACACCCACGCAGCCATAGAATCCTATCGTCGTGCCGTTGACGTGAATAGGAGAGATTACCGAGCCTGGTATGGACTAGGACAAACTTATGAAGTACTTGAAATGCATGCATATGCACTGTGGTACTATAAACGTGCAGCAGGACTCCGTCCTTGGGATGGCAAGATGTGGATGGCAGTAGGATCCTGCTTACAGAAGATGGGACGCGATTTGGAGGGTATCAAGGCATTAAAGCGTGCACTATTGGCAGACAGCTACTACGATGCAGGTGTGGGCAGTTCATTCGGAAGTGGAGGTAGAGAAAAAGGAGGCACTATGGATCCAGAAATCTTATTACAAATTGCTGGGATGTATGAGAGATTAGAGGATGAAAGAGAAGCGCGAGGGTATATGGAATTGTGCGTGGCACAAGAAGAAGGCAATGATAATACAGATGCAACGGTTATCAACATTCATAATGATTCAGCATCATCAGATGATGAAGGACGTCAGCCATTGGCACCTACAGGCGAGGGTGGCAATGGTACGGGAGTTACGGCTGCTACGTCGAAAGCAAGGATGTGGTTAGCAAAGTTCTCGATGAGAACTGGTGATTACAAAAGAGCCATGCAATTGGCAACGGAATTATGTCAAGATGGGGTAGAGGTGGAGGACGCAAAGGCCTTAGTTAGAGAGGTCAGAGTCAGACTGGAGGGATTAGAGTCACCGTGAGCCATAAGTGGGCAGGCATTTATAGGAGTTTTGAGATACTAGTTAATATCAATTTTATCTAGTTTTGACTCTGACAAGCGTCGGTTTCATGATATGCGTGTTACTTGAGTTCACAAAACTCTGGGCTTTCGCTAAACACGTCTTATTCAAGCAGAATTTTCCAACGAAATTTTTGGACTTGGATGAATGTTTGGCCGAGAGTGATATTCGTTATCTCAAAACATAACCGATAAATTGATATTTCCCAGCGCTTCCGCCTCTACTTGATTCAGCCTGAATACCACCCTAGGTCTGGGCATCGTTAACAGAGGCCAATATCCGATGACTGGCTAACAGATTGCCGCAGGCCATCAATGTCGTTTTCTTGCCTCGCTCTCTTCATCTTTTCTCTTTTGCTCTGCCTCATAAGCTTCATTTTTTCTCTCTTCCTCTTCCTCGTGAGCAAGCTGGGCTAGTTCGAGACGTTGCTTGCGGAACACTGCCTCATCATTAGCTGCCTCGACGATTCGTGCATGAATTTCTGCTTTCAATGCGTCTGCGAGTACCTGATCGATGGGATTGGGAGGCATGTTGAAAGATGATTCTCGATATGAAAAGGGCTACAAGAAATTGAATGATTAATTTAAAAATAAAATTATGTCAACCAATGAATTTTCCTTAAGAAATCAGGACCGATGAGACCAACCTGAATATTATATAACACCAAATTACAAAGGGTATATTTGTTAAAGAAGGCTAATCACAAAGGTGATAAGCCTCCCTTTCAAAAAAACAGTTCCACCCCTTTCCAGTAGATACATTATGTATCGTTCATTTAGATATCCAAGCAAAGCTCCTGCAATTTGGAGTGTCAATTTAACAGTTCGGAATCTGCTGATCAACTTGTCAATTTTATCCAAGCGATTGATATGAGGTGCAATCTATATAAATTGTGTAACACGGCCCGCCACTCCGCATAACATCAACATATCCCTCCACTTTCAATACCATTGCAACATCTTCATATTGTCGCGCATGTACAGATACACAGGAAAAGGAGAAGTATCTAATCGTCTTCGCTGCTGTACAATCCAGAGCGGCGTTGGTGCATATGTTTGATTACAGTCACGTTAGGCAAATCCATCGTTTCATTTCTCTATGGAATGTCGAGCTTCTCAGCCACTCCAAGCTTCAAAATCTAGGGTGCAGCTTCTCCCTATTTATCCGAAGCGGCAGTCGCTATTCTGTATTTATAAGTCCTTTTCCCATGCTGGTTTCCCCGGATTTCAAAGAATTGCCAAGGCCCCAAACGACAAATATAATGCCGATCTTATTCAACGTGCTGGACTTTAGATGCTGGATGGATCTTAAATAGTCACATATTATCTGTTCTCCTAGTCAGTTGACGAAGAGCTTATAAAAGTAATATCTAGCGGGTAAATGATTCGATCCGCATAAATTAAGATTGATAGTACTAGTAAAAGGCAGGATGATGTCTTAGTGATTATGTTCCTGCCAATTTTTCCTATATGAGTCTCCAGACGTTTCTTCTCTATTCAACTAAATTTCGTACCGACTCCAAAACGTCTCCCTCACCACTATCTTCCCCATCTTCCCCATCATGAAGTCCATCACTTCCCTTCTGGGACTCTCGTTCCTCGCATCCCAAGTCTCAGCTCATTGTACGCATTTACCTACCTACCCTCTAACCTTAACTAAATAACGAGAAACTAATATGTTAATAACCAGACATTTTCCAATCCTTCACCTACAAGAACATTCAATATCCTCCTTTCGGCTACATTCGCATGAACAATAACTACAACAGTCCCGTCATCGACCTCGCTAGCAATGATTTACGATGTAATTCCGGAGGTGAAACAAGTAGTGGAACGCAGACTATAACGGTAAAGGCTGGTGATTCTTTCTCGTTCACGGGGGATATACAGGTTTATCATCAGGGTCCTGCGTCTATGTAAGTTTTTCAATGATTGTTGTGCAATCATGGATATTTATGCATAGGAAGGCATCGACATTGAGAATAATCTTGATATTAATCTAAATACTTTAGATATATGGCAAAAGCCCCAACGACTGCGGCGGCATTCGATGGATCCGGACAGGTTTGGTTTAAGATATTGGATATTGGTCCAACTTTTACAAATCAAGTTGCGACGTGGAATCTGTACCGTATGCTCCCGAATGTTTCTCGAGTTCAAGGAGAATGCGTGACTGATGATGGATATAGAAACATATACCTATACTATTCCGCCCAACCTGCCTAGTGGCGATTATCTTCTTCGTATTCAGCAACTTGGTATTCATAATCCTTAGTAAGTTATACATCTGTTCATGCGTGATATATAATCAACCTAGCTAACCACTCAATTCAGCCCAGGAGGTATCCCGCAGTTCTACATCGAATGCGCGCAAATCACCGTTACGAACGGGGGTTCTGGGACACCTGGTCCTCTGGTTTCTATTCCCGGGTTCGTATCACTTCTCTTCTTTCCCCTCTTCCCATCTCTTCCCTATTCCCTTTCCCCCGCTCTCCTACCCCTCTCTTCTCACTCAAAAATTAACCTATCCTCAGAGCCTTCTCAGCCACAGAACCCGGCTACACAGCTAATATCTACACAAATTTCTACAACTACACGGTGCCCGGTCCGGCCGTCTGGGCTTCTCAGGGAGGTGCTTCGGTCTACACGGGGATATCGACAGGGAATAATGCGGCGACTACGTTGGCGTGAGTGTGGTTTGTTTTATTTATTTATTTATTTATTTATTTTGTTATCCTGTTTTTTGGGTTTTTATTTTGAAAGTTTTGGGGTTCGGATCTTTGGGGTTTACGGAGGGAGAGGGAGAGGGAGAAGGAGAGGATAAAAATGGGGCTTTGCTTTGATACATGGTGCATGATGGGATAATAGCAACGCACAATCACTAACCCAAAACTCCAAAACCACAGAACAATGCCAGTAGCCACAGGAGTAGGCACCACTACTACCGGGACTGGGACCGCCACCGGAACAAGTGCGACGGCAACCGCTACTGGCGCGCTGGTATCGAAATATGGACAGGTGTGTTGCATTTCTCCCTTTGCTTTTCTTTCACTTGCATTTTTTTGACTTTTTATTATCGTTATCATTGAACTAATCCTTAATCTTGAAATAAATAGTGTGGCGGACAGGGATGGACGGGAGGCACGGTTTGCGTGGCGGGTAGTACGTGTACGGTGGGTAGTGTTTATTATAGTCAGTGTTTGTGAGGATGAGGATAAGGAGATGGATGAAGAGGGTATGGATGTAGATGGATGGGGATGTATGGGGATGTATGGAGATGAGGATGAGGATAAGTAGATGGATGAAGACTCTTGGGTGTGTTGCATATGTGGTTCTGGTTATGAATGATACGGAGCTGGTAAGGGCAGATGACGTTTACTTGGTATAAATTGACATGATTGTGATTACAATTGTATACTCGAGTATTGAGGAGTGAGGAGTGGAGAATAGGTTGGAGCCTTTGAGGGGGTTACTCGGCTATGTTGTATATATGAACACGAGTACCAAACTACCAGTATATATGAATATGTGTGAATTTTGCAGTTGGATTTCAGCTCATATTGTTTTCACGTACAGAAATTGGATTATGTGGATTGGGTTCACTAGTATTTGATTGACGGTAATTTGTTTGTTTTGTGAGCATGTATTCCAGGAAATATTATCCGCCAATATGGTGCGGCATATGGTACATATATGCTACCTCTCCCTTGCCCAGAGGCTCGTAATTCATATTCATTGCCATAACCCATTATCCCCTCCAATCCAATCCAATCCGATCCAATCCACATCTCAGAATATTAAATACCATTCATTCACTGCACTCCAAACTTCAATCAAGTAGAATTACTAATCGCCAACAACTTAGTGTAATTAGGGGTACCCAGCCCTGTAGCCGGATCCCAACCACTAACGGCCGAGAAACCAGCACCGCTAATGACACCACTGCATCCCGTAATCTTACCGCTGGTAATATCGGTCAAAGCAGATTTGGCCGTAGTGTATAACCAGGGGTTGAGGAAACCCAGACCGGCTTTACCGGCTGCGACGCGGTTGGAGTTGACGAGTTGGATGACGGAGCTGAAGGTGGGAGTTGCGCAGGAAGTGCCGTCGACGAGTTCGGCGAAGCCTGAAGCGACGATGATGACTGGTGGGGAGATGTGTTAGTGGATTATTATGCGGCATGGATTAGGGGGGTGGGAGGTGCGTTGAACTTACAGTTGGTGGCCTGAGCGGCTACGTCAGGGTAGGCACGACCGGATGCGTTGAAGTAGTTTACTACTGAGTTATGGGTCCTGTCGGTTGTGAGCCATGTGCTGACTGCGCTGGTTTGGTAGGAAGGTTGTCCGAAAACAGAGGAGAATCCTCCGCCACCATCAGTCCATGCTGCCCTATTGAAGGTTAATACTTTCGGTCTTCAAATCACAACCAGGATTTATATGAATACTTACTCAGGACTATTACCAGTGGTACCGCCAACAACAGTTACCCATGGGCACGAAGCTGGGAAACTGGTGGTGAAACCCTTGGTGCTTCCATCGATAGTGCAAGTAGTACCTACACCAGAATCCCCAGATGCGACAAGGATTGATACACCACGAGCACCGAGTTGAGAGAAGAGATTGCAGACTTCATCAGCGTAGCTCAAGGGAACAGTGGACTCGTCGTCACCGTAAGAGATGGAGAGAGTGTTTGGAAGTGTTGTAGCAGCAAGGAGAGAGTCGAGCAATTCGAGGTAGGGCTCATTGGTGTTTGAACCACTGCCAACAATTGGTGGGGATCCACCAGTTGAATAACTTTGATTTGTTAGCATTACTGTTCAAAACTAACAATCGGGAATAGATGAATTTTAAACTCACTAGATGTTGGGGATCTCCGATGTGATAGCTCTGGCATATTGTACATCAAGATTGGCTTCGATCCCTGGGTAGCCACTACCACTTGATGGGCACGTTCCTCCATTGATAAGAGTACAGGTGTATGAATAAGCCTTATTGGCAAAGTATGCATAGCTGTTCATGAAGGTGGTCAAATCACTCTTGGATGGCCATTGCTTCAAGAATCCGGCGATACCCATCAATCCGCTTGTCAATGTAGCTGGAGCTGAAGTGAAAGAGTAAAGATTGGCAAGACATGTTGGGGTGATAGTGCTACCACTGCAGCCTGTCACGGCTTCAGTGCCATCAACGTTGAGCATACTTTCGTCGAATTCTTCATGTTGCTTGATCGTGGAACGCATTGCTCGAAGACCGAAGAAGGTTGTTGGTTGAACGATGTCAACATGATCTTTCAAAGAATCAGGAAGGCTGTATTTCAGAGTTCGGATGGCACCTTCGTGCAATCCCGTGTGAACTAGTGAATATTAGAAACCGTGATCCGCCATGAGGAGAAATCAAGTTCTTACCGTAAGCGCTATACTCTGCTTGTAGAAGCTCCTCAACTTGGCTGATGCTTGCTTCCACAATGACTGAGTCACCTCGTGCTGAGACGCTTGTTTGATTTGTCAAGCCCGCAGTGGCTAACCATTGTAGAACCAAGTCACGCGATTGGGATTTTGGTGCGATCATTGAATTGATCACTGTTTGGTCCATATGACGTCCATAAAGAGCATGTCCAGGAGTGGCAATCTGTGAGAGGTTAATATGGAGCTTTTTCTGTTTCAAGACGTCTGCAATAAAAGAAGTCTTCATCTCAACTGCAGATTCAAGATGCACCTGAGGTATGTAAAAGATGGGAAATCATACGTCCATGGCCATCTTGTGAAACTTTGGCATGTTTTGTGCCACCAGATGCAATCTCAACTTCATCGTCGAGACATCTTTGTCGAATACGGCATCCTCATCCAAAGCCCATCCTGCCGGTGGAGCAGCAATTTTCTCGAAAACGCTGGATTTGCCGAACGTAGGTAGTGCTTGGACTGTCGAGGTAGCAAATGCCACGGAGAATATGTTGAGGAGAAGCATCTTGCCGAAGTAAGAATGATTACAACGAGAAAGAGTTCGAAGAAGAACTGCGGTACCATGGCATACTTATGCCAATGCTAGCCAAGGGAAAGGCGCAAGCTTGGACAAGACAAGCTTGCGGCATCGATACGGTACCTGCTTCTCTGAGCTAATGGTGTGCTGAATATTTGCATTGCGAGCTGCCTTTTACAGTGAATTTCCCGTTCATATCGGTAGCCCATCTTGTTTTCTTCATCAACTTAAGGTTATCTTGTAATTCTATGTTCATTGGATGATATCCTATGGATGGGACGTGGGCGATTGACAGATCGTCACGGAGGTGTGGCTGCATTAGGAAAGTCGTTAGGAAATCGGACGCTTGATGGAGCTATGCATGCCAAGTGGGGAAAGCCTCCTTCCGCATTTCCAAAGATTGCCGAAAGAGGGGAAGGTCATAGAGTACAATCCCGATTGGCAACTCATTCTTCCGTCCATGAAGAGGAATAGAGACTCAAGAGAAAGCAGTATTTAAGCGCTGAAGGAGCCGAATTGATAGATAAATGTTGGCTCATGAATTGTCAATCAAAGCTCCCGATGGAGAAGATGAATCGAATGTTTTTCAGGTTTAATATACAATGCGTTAGAGAGCGATACCAGAAGGTGGAACCAGAGTACTAGAGTGAAAATTAACTTCCTAATTGGGTTCCTACAAACAGGTAATATCCAACCATATGATTTTTGTCCCCATATTCGCCAGCACATCATTCCTGGCAAGAGATGAAATGAATATCGTTATGTACTGCCATGTCAGGATCACGAAGTATGGGACTTGACATCAACCTTATGCAGTCCTGTACATTAGTAACATCAATGTTTATAATTGGTACATTCCATGGAATGCTTTTATTCGATCTGAGTTCATTGTTGGAACCTTTCTTCTTGAACAATTAAAGAAAAGACATGTTTCTACTTCGCATCTCATATGCAATCTAAATATCGAGCGGCCACTGATGACAATTGCAGGTAATATAGATACATGTATGTATACTTAACACTTATGTTTTGGCTTACTCCAACTTCCCGCTTAGGGATCCGACTGATAATTGGAGGAGTCGAGTCAAAGTACTCAAAAGATCAATATTAGAGATCAAACCGGATATCTCGGGAAACGTGTCGATAGCTTGGAGACAGCTTCAATGTCTGATTGAATACCCACCCAAAAACAACTCAAGCAATACGCATAGTAAAGTGACATAGGTACAACACTTCGAAGCAATGAACCTCATTGTAGAACATCTCCCTCTCGATTTCACCAAATTAACGAACTTGTAAATAAAGGCAACAGAACTCATACAGCTAGTTGTCAAATGATAGCGATAACTATGTGATATCTCTTGGGTTTATATACAAGAACATAGATCAGTTGACAGTTGCGTAGGTTGTGCAAAGCTAACATAACGACCGAACGATTAGGTCGTCATCCGTCGTACCTGTGATACCGGAATGTTGAGAGATTTTATCTTGAAAGCTTGAATATGACAGGTTTATCGAGATATCTCAAATGACTTGATCGAGGTAAATTTTGGTTGCATATCGCGAATCGAAATTCATGACGTCGATGCTTTGAAAGCGCAGGTACACCACCACTTCTATGGACGTTACGTTACGGTGAGATGTGGTGAGATGTGGTGAGATGTGCAACTATGCAACCTTTGTTCCCTAAGGGAACTCTCATGCGAAAAATACTTCATCTTCGCTCAAACTGTCGTCGAGATTGCGATGTAGTCCAAAACTGTCAACTCAAAACAAGTAGATGTCCAAATAAGAGCGGAGAAAAAGGGACAAGTAGATAATGTCACTGAAAGACATGTGTAGAGTTTGGTTCCCGGATCCATGGCCTCAAGGTTTGAGTATTTCCATCAATTGCTTGGGAACAGAAGACACCCGGAACACCTAATAAGTGGTAAATGAATGGTTCAATTATCATCAAGTACTAGGTTTGATGTACTAGTAGGATTTGCAATTCTCACCAGCGGTACGAGTCAAGGCAACTATGTATAAAGATATTCACACACCGATCATGACTCATGGTCCCTGCCTAATGTACATTTATCCACTATCCCCAAATTAGCCAAGTTTGTCCCATTTGTATCAGTCAGCCCCCAGATTTCTCACTAACAAATTATCTATAAATTCTTCACTCCTCCCTTCCATATTTCCCTTCTTTTTTCTTCATCTTAGTGCATGGGTTTTACGCATATCAGTGAGGATTCGTCCGAGATTGCGTTTTTGCTAGTTGAAAACTATAACCATGACCACTCCAGGTTGGCTTCGGTTGGCCTGGGAATCTTTGGAACCAAACATCTTCTCGTAAGAGATATATATTTTATTGTTTTTTCATTGCGAATGGCTTCTTGTAGGCTGACGTGAAGAAGAAGATTTGGAAGGTTGGATGGGGATATTCGAGGCAGAGGATGATGGGATTGGGAATGAAATAGGAATCTACCTACATAGGTATTGAGATTTGGGTGGTAGCTTTTGAATTTAAGGTGATTTTCACAGAAAGTGCTGATGTAGCGGATCTGTTCTGTTCTATTAATGTAGCATTTGAATTTAAAGATCATTTACAGTGAGAGTTGCTGATGCGGATCTGTTCTATTCTATAATGCTGATGTCCGTGATATTGTCACTTTGAATTTGTAGGATAGTTTTCAATATTCGGAGAATCACAGATATCTTAACAGATAATCCTATTGCAATTGTTGAAATCCTTCTATTCAAATCAGAAAGGTAGGGAACAAATATCTTTGTTAACTCCATCATCTGCTGTCCCATCTCGGTATCCCACAGTCACAACCACATCTATCTATATATTCATCATGACGAAGACGGCACTCATTACAGGCGCAACTGGTTTACTTGGTAGACAAGTTCTGAAAGTCTTTGATCGAGAAAATTGGAATGTAGTTGGCACCGGTTTCTCACGCGCAAAGCCTCCTACCATTCTCAAGGTAGATTTGGGTTCCGAGTCGGAAGTTTCAAAAGTGTTGAATGAATCCAAGTAATGTCGCATTCTGCACGTTATACAAGACAATACTAACGGTAAGAGGATTTAAAGACCTCAAGTCGTAATTCATTGTAAGTTCTTATCGACACTTATGCCTTGTCATTGTCATCACTGCTAACATCGCGATTCCAGGTGCAGCGAACAGATTCCCCGATAAATGCGATAGCGACCCTGAAGGCACACGCGCTCTCAATATTACCGCCTCCGCCTCATTGGCAAAACTCTGCGCCGCACAATCGATCCTTCTCATCTATATTTCCACCGATTATGTATTCCCCGGCACCGAAGGCGAAGCTCCTTACGAGACAACCCATACTGCGAAGCCCCCAAACCTATACGGAAAAACAAAATATGAGGGCGAGAAAGCCGTATTGGCAGAATATGAGAAAGCAGGCAAATCTGGCCTGGGAGTTGTATTGAGAGTTCCCGTTCTCTACGGACAAGGCGAGCCTGAAGAAAGTGCAGTCGGAGTACTCGTCAACTCAGTCTGGAAAGCCCAGGAAAACGATGCCAACATCAAAATGGATCACTGGGCTCTTCGCTATCCCACCAATACGGAAGATGTAGGTCGAGTGCTCTCAGACATTGCGACCAAATATCTCGAAAGCAAAGAACCATCATCTTTACCACGCATCCTACAATTTTCTTCCGAGGATAAATTTACAAAATATGAGATTTGTCAACTATTTGCGGAGATTCTGGGTTTGCCCCTTGATGGGATAGTGGCGAATACAGAGGGCAATGATCCAAAAGCTATGGTGCAGAGACCTTATGATTGCCATTTGTCTACTAAGGCATTGAAGGATTTGGGGATCAATGTTGCTACGATGGATTTTACGGGGTTTTGGAGGAGGGAAATGAGGGCTTTTAGGAAGTAGAGAAGCACCAGGCTCGGGGTATACAAGTATAGTTGTCGATCCTACCTATTTAGGCTCACTATCAATCGCGTATCTTTTCAAACATTCCGATCTTGTTATGAAGACTCGTAATGAGGACTAAGGATTACACGAGAGAATTGAACGGCCTCCCCAACGTTCCGACATATATCAGTTGGCACATCCACGACAACTGTTTATGAAATGTATTGGGTGACCAGTTTTTGACCCTCCCATCAGTGCATTCATTAGTGCCCTATCCCCTCAAAGAGGGTTCGTATTACTAGCATAGTATCCCTTCTACTGTGTTCATTATGACAGCAACTGGTAGGTACTCTTTATGTTAGCTTGATGCTCATTCAAGTCAAGTCAAGTTAAGCCAGTCTCCTACGATGCAGGCCAAGTTTGCAAAGTGTTGCTGGCTGGGCTGGGCTAGCATACTCCGTTCATTGCTGACCTGGGGTTTCTTGCTGCTGCGCGTGATGGAGGAGAGATATATTGATTGGAAGATGGAGTTAATGTTGGGTTGAACATCATGAATCTCTACGAGTACATGATATTGATATTCATGGAACTTCACTATACGAGACAGTAAAGGCGCCGAAAATCCCCTTCATGACGGTTAGAATTAGTTAGAATTACGTTGTATGCGCCATCCTTATGAATCAGGATTGGAGCTACAACTCATGTAGTGTATATTGTTGCGAAGCGTGTCTTCCATTATCCACCATCCATTATTCCAGGTCAGATTTTGCTGCTCCAGAATATCTCTCTAATAGATCATCTCTAACAGCCTCCCTGGGATAAGCAGTACCGTACGGATGATATTTGATATTTCCTTTGAACAACGAATCTATATAGGATAGGGCTATGAGGCCATGAAGTCCGCAAGAGGGCCAACCACAATACTCATACTCATACATCGACCGAGATCCACGATTCACGGTGATAATCTAAGACTTATATTATATGATCATCACGATTCACCACCGAATCTACTATCAATATATACCTATCATTAATTCTTGTCTATTTACCCTGCTTACTATTCTATCTACTAATATTTTTTGATATATTATATTATACTCTTAGTATCTTAATTCTATAGATATACTCAAGCGATTGAACTATATACCCGAGTATAGTACTCTAGAATTATACTAAGCGAACACACTATATATATGCTCCCGAAAACCTAAATTCAATATTGTAAAAAAGATCTTAATATAGCTTCGAGATCGAAAAGTATATCTATAACTATCAAGATGTAGTAGTTATTAACAATTTGATATATATTAAGGGTTAGAATGAGGATATCCCTAGCCTGATCCTGGCTGGACTCAGCAACTATTCTGACAATAAACAGACTAATAATTCTTTCTATTTAGTCTATTTCTTATAGATTCGATAATCGATCCGTTTAAATCACTCGTTAGAATACCGAATATAGTCTATCTTACGCTTCCAGAGCTAGCTAATATGATATATATTATCTTGTCTTTAGATATTTTGTTATTAGTTATAGATATTTTACTGCCTCAGCCAGTTCTCTTGCGATCGTGGTTCTGGTCTCTATTTTCGGGTTGGGGTAGTTTAGTAGCCAGGAGAAAGAGCAAGATACCTAGGCTTTAGAGCTTTGGCTTCGACAACGAACTCATTATCACTTTAGTTATAACCTTAAGTATCTATCATTCCTCCAAAGGCCCTCAGGCTATGAATCGACTTATTATAAAAAATTTGATAACAATCTATAGCTAGCTTCTTACAATAGAATTCTCGAGCTTTTTTCTCCTTTCTAATATTTAAATATATACGAGTAAAAGCTCCTGATATATAGCAAATAGTATTTATATTTAGCTAGAAATCTATCTTTCTTCTTCTTCTTTCTCCTTGAGTATATATTCAATATATTGCTTTTACACTCGAGCGAGCAAAAGCCTAGTAGAAGTACAGCGCATTGACATTTGAGGCATACCTAGGTAAGGTTACCGCTAAGAGCGGATGAACAATGAGATGGGGCATGTCTAATCACTTATTTTATTATAATTCGACTTGTACAGAAATAACAATATCATGAGAGGTTTGAGAATAAGATGAAATAAGCATAACATAACGAACTTGTTTACACTATAACAGTTAGATCATTCGGCCTTACAACATAAGGATTCCGATTCGGATTCTTCTTTGGCGCGCTCTTCTAGAAATAATCTTGGCCATTTCGTAACAATAACTACAAATGTTACTCAAATATATGAAATGATCATATAGTACTTCCAATCGGTGTTTGATGTAGGTAGCAGGTTCTCCAAGTATCGGTATGTGAATGTATTTTAGCTGTACCTGTACTCTATGTTCACTCCAGTCTCCAATCTCACCGGTATTTGCTTTATTCATATATTTATAGTATATATAATCTTATTGGCAAGACAAGACATTATTGATATTTATAATATAAATGATTCTCGAGCATTGGTTTTGCGGAAAGGTTGTTTCTTTTCATTATGAAATAGTAATGGATTCAAGGGGCATTGAGCCTTAATGTACCCCATTTTCTATGAGTGAGTTGGGTTTCATCTACTCAGTACTTGAGATATATATATGTAATTGAGTGGATTTATGTCTTTATGGATCCCTTATAATTCCTCCTGGGTTAGAAGTGGAATTTGAATTCAATCATCCATTGGTTACATCAGCCTTGTCAACATACTATCATTGCTATGGCACTGGGCTTGTGATTGCAAATTTCCCCTGTTTTTCCCCCACATTATTCGGGAGATCATCTAAACTTTACTAAAAATCATTAATTGGTCAAATCCAACATTCCTCAATACTCGTAAATATAATCAAGTATTATTATTCTGACCATGGTTCTGTGACTGGCTGGTCTGGTACAAGCAATTAAAGCATTACGCATTACTTGGAAGCACAAGAAAGACACAAGAGACGTTACTTTTGGAAATTTAAGATTGCACCCACTCCCCACTCCCACCCCCCATCACCTGCAACCCCAACTTAACGCTGCGTTCACTCATCTGCAGGTACAGTACGGGTACTTACTCACTTGTACTTCAAATCTGGTGGTCAATTCATTCACTTGTTCGTTATCATTCTTTCTATGAATCAGGAATCAGGAATTCAAGCAGGAAAAATAATGCTTATAAGAGTCATAATTACTAGAAGTACTATTTATTACTTATGATACCCAAAACTTTAATCTTCTCATCATCCATCCATTCATTATGGCAGAAGACAAGAACCAACCCTCTCAAGCGTCGCAACCAAAATATTCTAGATACAGATCCGTAAGAGCTGTATCTTCGAAAACCGAATCCTCCCCTTCAAGACAAGATGTCCATCAAAATCAAAACTCGTCCATGGCTAGAACCAAGAGTATGTCAAGATATCGACGACCGAAGTTGGCTCTCCAAACCGAAGATTCACCCCCTGTGCCCGCCTTACCAAATTCGCATGGCCCAACGAAATCTCCAAATCCTGCTGCGAGAATTCCAATGACAAGGCGAACAACTGATCTAGATGAGACTGCGACTGGTCTTCCAAAAAATTATGCGCAAACTAGACGCCCCATTCCACATCGATCGCAAACACATTTGGGAGCGACGGGAGAACTTCAAGATTACAATGAGCGACAACAAAGTTGTGAGCCAAATTATAATAGCGATAATGGCATAAGTCAACAACATAAAGTTCTCTCTTCTTCGCATTCCCCTCCACCGGTTTCCCTTCCCGTTCAACTGAGCGACGAGGAGACGGAGAGAATCTTGGCAGAACAGAAGCGCAAGGATTTGGAGAGACTGGAAGCAACACTGGATGCAGCCGCGAACGAACCTGCTAGGACTCCTCCTCAGAAGTTCGGGTTCTTTAGCAATAGAAGACGTGCTACTACAACAACCAGACCCAACCCACCTGCTTCATTCGGTAATATTGCGTCACTGCAGCGCGCAATCGCTGATGGACCTCCCATAAATGATGCGCCTGTCATAAATCCAGTGGGGATTCAGCAGGGTGGTGGAGGGATAGTGCCGCAAACCGATGCCCCAATCTCAGCATCAAATGCGCCAGAGAGGGTAAGTCTAATCCATTCTATGTAAGAGCAATGTTGACAATATCTCTAGAGAGTTTTGATTCGTTGCAAACAGTCATCAATTAATCTACCAGTTGACGGAGATACGACTCCCATTGAAATAATCAACTCTGCTGCCAACATCATGTCGGCTAATATCAATCCACGCACAGCTGTATTGCTGGAATCATATGCAACCCTTGGCCTAGAACGCAAAATTCGACGTTATGAACATGTCAGGGATATAATGAATTCTTGGGACCGAGATACACAAAATGCTCTTATTTTGGAGGGTTCCGATTTCACCGATGAAAATCTAGAAGCATCATATGTGCTAAAAGACGCACCTAAAGATGTTACAGTACAACTGTACCATTCCCAAAAACCTGGCAAATGGAACAAACGCTACATCACGCTTCTTTCTTCTGGTCAAGTATTCATTTCCAAAAAGTCGGGGACGGGCCTGAATGACAAAGACTCTACAAATATTTGTCACCTGTCAGATTTCGACATTTACACTCCGACAGCACACCAAATCAGGAAAGTTCTTAAACCTCCAAGGAAGAATTGTTATGCCATCAAGAGTCAACAAAAAACATCAATGTTCTTAAGTACTGAGAACTTTGTACACTTCTTTTGTACCGATGATCAGATTGCGGCAAATGCGTGGTATTCTGCAGTTCAAAGTTGGAGAAGCTGGTACTTGGTGAACAAAAAGGGTGAAGGGCAGAAAAAGGCTACGAAAACTGTGAAAGCAATGAAAACAAAAATTGGATCAAGGCCAGGAACAGGAACCCGAGGTGCTCAAACACATAGGATTAATGTTTCTGTGGACGAAGATCCATATATGATTGGGTCGTTCAAGCCATTGCTTGATATGGATCGTTTCGACCGATCAGAAGCAGATGATTCGGCCAACGAGGACGAGAAGTCCAAGCAGGTTCCTTTTCATCTACGAAATACCTCTACAATAGCACCACTTCCTCGCCTTGCAAGAGATCGACCACCGGTAGCTTACCGAACACCACCTCAAGAAGATCAATTCGCATCGGGTGGATTGTTAGGAAGAACATATTCGGACCGTCAAAAAGCACAACAGGAACGGGAGAACAGCCTTAAGAATGGATCTTTTATTGATGGCCCAACACTCATTAACAGCAGTACAGCTCAATCTCGAACCATGTCCATGCCCACCAAAGACAAACGCCCGGAAACTGCCAATGCTGCAAATACTAGTCTCCAACGTAGTCCCAGCAGCAAGAAACCTAAACCTCTACTAGATTTCACACCGCAATTCGAAGAGGCTCCGCAATGGAACAAAAAAGGCAAGGGGCATGGTGTAGCGGCTCCTTCTGGGCTTCTCTTGGTTGAGGCGGCGAATACGCCGGAGATGGGGTTAGTTGATATTCCGAAGACGAATACGGTGTTTAGGAGGGAGACGACGAGCCAGAGGCCTAGGACTGGTACAAATGGGAGAGATAGGGATCATTCGGGAAATAGGGATCCATTTGTTAAGGGTGGGTTGATTAGTGGGAGTACTGGTGGAGGTGGAGGTGGAGGTGGGAGGAGTGTAGTTGGGGGTTCGTTGACAAATACTGGTAAAGATAGAGGAAGGTCAGGGTATGAGTGAAGAAGATGGGATAGCGGAGGAATATCAATGATGGTCTGTTGGTTTCTTCGTAAGGGATGGGTTGGGATGGCATGGGATCTTTCACATTTTATGGTCTGGATCTGGATGGAAATGGAAAATTGGACTCAATGGATTGATGGGACGGGGGACTGGGAAATGAAGGGTCTGGATGCTGGATTGGGAAATGAATGTTTACTGGTATGGTATTTGTTGGTGTTTATGAATGATAGATACCATTGAAATAAGATCGTATACATTTGCGTTTACATCTACTTCTTCTATTCTATTCTATTCTATATGTATACTCTTACTTGAGTAGAATTAGTTATAGTTATAGTTGTCGCAAATTCAATTTATTGTTTTCTTTTTTGAATTTTGAATTGATTTGTTTTGTTTTGTTTTGATTTGATTTGTATATTACTCGTATATATACTCGAAAATCTTATCTATTTTATTTGATAATCGATTTCTTTATAAATAAAAATCAACTATTTATTTCATTTCAAGTTATTCTAATTATAAAAAAAAGTGAATATTCTACGAATACTCGAGTATATAAATAATTTGATATATTTTATATATTATTAGAGTCTAAGTACTACTCGAGTAGATTAATTAAATATATTATTGAAGAAATGGTTCTCGTAGTATTGTGAGGAAACCAATCAATAGTATTAGAGTCACGTGATAATCTAGAGAGGGTACTTATACCCCCTCTTCCTGTAGTTTAGATCAGTGGTCATGTTTTACCCTTCAAAGTTATACCTACCCTCAGTGTTTAGACAAATAGTTACTTTATCCCCCTTTTGACCATGATTATCTTTTAGTGATGCTACGATTAGATGATTGTTATATAATATGTGATTATGCTGAAGGCTTTCCTATAATTTCACACACCCAAACACAATATTCCAAAGAAAAATTTCTGGTCGCCAGAAGTTGAAATTCGGTCTGAATTCAAACTCTACGGAGTCACAACAATACATATAACGTGGTTTATCAGTGCGTCGCGCATATCAGTGCCTCGCGCACTTTTTCACTACTCAATCATTTCAAAATATTATTCAATAATCACAATATATAAAATTAATTGAAACTATTCAGAATCTGATAAACTAGAGTCTTCTAAATCCTCCTGACAAGTTCATATATTATGACCAGTTTTACCACAAGAGCCACAACAACATAAAGTTGATTGTTCCCTATTTGAACTACCTCTCTTAAAGCATTCATTACATCGAATCTGATTATCTACATTGGTCTATAATATAATATTATATCTATCTTGTATACTAAGTATTTCTCCTTGACGAATTCGACTCTTTTTAGTTTTACAATGTTTATTTAATACCTTATTTGCTTTTCGAAGAGTACAAATCTCAGTATTTATAAGTATCATCTCATAAGCTAATATTTCTGTACCTTTAGCTAAAGCTGCAATTGTTTCAAATATAAATGTAGAAGAGTTTTCTTAATATTATGCAATTCGATTTTTAATTAAGATTAATTGCAAAAGAGTATCGTTCGAGTTGTGAGATGTTTGAGAAACCTAAGGATCGAGCTTTATAGAGAAGGATTTGGTAGGTGTAAATATTCGTAATTTGATATCTAGCTTAGAAATAACAGCTTAAGGATCAAAAGGTATTAATCCAGCTCCGCGGAATCCAGATAATCCATTTTGAATAGTTATTGATTGTAGGTATGCTGCTTTGAAGGCTATAAGGAATTCGACCTTGATGATATAGTTGATATAAGCCTTAATATACCTCTCAATTTGTTGGCCATACGTTCGTTTTAAAACACTAAAACATCCGACATCGAGTGGTTGAGTAATATGCGAAGAATGAGGAGGTAATGAAAGAGTTATAATATTGTGTTCTTTGCAATATTCTTGAAATGCAATCGATTCGTGGCTTTCGTGTCCGTCTAATACTA